TTTTTCCTTGATATGAAAGGTAAGCATCCCTTGTCATCAAATGTGAGATCAGCGATAAATCTTTCAGTTTTTGTGATGCAAGCTTGTAGAAAATTTTTCGATGTCTTTGTGATGGGAACAGAAAGATATATAAATAGACAATTTACAATTGAATGCAGTTAACAATCAAAGTAAAACGCACCTTCAAACTGTTGAGAAATGTGGTTTCAATATTGGAAATCTTTCTAATAGCCTTCAAATATATTTTCATCTTTGTGTTGGTTTGGTGATAGTTAAATCACCATACCCATATTTTCTTCTAAAGATTAAGGTATTATGGGAAATTAAAAATTGACTTTCTTAAAAAGCAAGAAAGTGATATATTTATAAGAGAGTGAATGATGACATAATAATCATCTTTTGACGGTAATCCCTTTGGGGGTTATGGGAATAGATCTCCAATATGAAAATGGGTCTCAAAGAGAGAGCGAGACATGGCATCTGAGAGAGATGCGTTATTTTCATGAGTTTTGGGTTGGTTAACTTTCACTTCTTGAGAGAAAAAGTTTCTCGGTTGCTCTCAAGGTTATCTTTCCGGTAGTGGTGAGAAAGATGTTATTGATCGACGGTGTTGCTCAGTTTGGAGAGTGTGTTTAGAAGGGAAGATCAGTGATGACCTTTTACCGATATTTAGAGATATGTATTATCTTCTGTAATCCAAAACTATAATCTTCATTGTGATCGTTGATTTCTAGTTGCTGAGGCCATGGATGTAACCATACGGGGTGAACCACATATATCTTGTTTGTTGTGGTGTGTTTTTCATGTTTGCTTTATGTCTCACACTCGATTTATAGTTGTATTCATCTACTTCGCATTTAGTCAATCATATACACAATCTTGGGTGGGATCCTGGTGTTTGGGATTCCCCGTTCCACAAGCTAAGGGGATCACGAGATCCCTACACTTTGATTATAAAATTTAAAGCTTAAAAAATAGTGTTTATCGAGTAGATTTATAAAAACTTGAAAATCTTGAAAACCGGTCTAAAAAAATGCACTATTTCCAAAACATTAAATCCATTTTTTTCTCATGTCCATGCATCTTGAGGTCGAGATGATCAATTTAAGGATATTTAGGCATCAAAACAACCTCTTCTAGTGAAATTTTTGAGGTGCGACCTAATTTAATTGTTTAGAGCTCAGTTACATTTAGTATAAGGATGTCACAATTACTCTTGTCCGTTAGATTTTAACTCAAGTGGTTGTAAGTATGTCACTGACTAGATGCAAAGTTTAAGAAAGTGTTTTTGGGACAATGGTATATCACGCCCAGTAACACTGACCACCTAGCTTTGAGCTTTTCTTTTGGGGACAATGATATATTATCATCACCACCAAATCATTTTCCCAACTAATTGAGATCGATTACACGAATCCTGGTTCGCCATTCTGCTATATCAAGGGTCGTATCCTCAGTGAGACAATAAGTCTTTATATCTTTTTTCACTACTTCCAACTATATATTTTTTTTTACGATGGTACTTAACTTCATTTCAAAAAACCCTAGCTTTGAGCTTATTTATCTTTTCTTGATTGTAATCGTACTATATGCCTCTCTATCGATCTATCTGTATGGTGTGCTACCAAGAGTGAAGAAGTGAGGTTCTTGTCTTCATAGGTTAACTCGCTTGAACCAATTCCTTAGTGGGGCTTAAGCTTGATTGATTAGTTGCTGATGACTAAAACACTACGTCTTGGTTTTTACCCCAAAAACAAATTTGAGTACTGATTGTTATTATGAGATTCCACAAAAAAAAATGATTTACCTTTACATATAAAACCTCTCCAAACTTATTTTTTCACTAAATCTATTAGATTACACAAGAAAAAAAAAGAAAAAAAAAATAAGAAGAAAGGATAAAAGAGCTTCCCTAATATATGTGTGCACACAATGCATGTATATACTATTAGGATCCTAGTCATGTTTTTTCTTGGGATGACCCCTACGTTTGGTAGGAATTGAGCCTAGGATGTGGTGTAGGATTGAAAATAGCTAGGTGATAAATAATTAAGCCCAGACTCTTTTCCTAATCCCAGTCATGTTTTAGTCCTTAAAAATTGAACCTCAAAAAAGAAAAAATACATAGAATTCTAGTCATGTTGGATTGTATTAGGACCATCTATTGCTTCTTATTGAACTATTCCTCTTTCAATGAAGATGAACCTTAAATCAATAAGATTTAATTCTCTCTTGCTTGAGCTCCTTCATCACTCTATCAAGCTCCCTCAATAGGGCCTTTTCAAGCTCTAACTAAAAGTTTTAGAAATGAGAATTCTCCATACCTTAAAATTTAAGCTGGGTGTTTGGTGGAGTACATATGCCATTAACTGTGGCATGGACTGTAGAGCACGTTACTGGAGGAAACAAATAGCTATTAGAGGATCCATTCTATGATTTTTTTTTCTGTGACACACTTTAGAATCATCATATGGGTATTTAAAAAAAGAAAAAAAATTGTGTTTCTATACAATTTGGCAATAAAAAAAATTGGATTATCATTGCACAATATGAGGATGTTATTCTTTTTCAGACACATATAAAGTGCAATTATAATTATGATATTGTATACAATGAGACCATTTACATTTGGTACATGGAGGTCACAATTACTTATAACTATATGATGTAAAATTTGATAGCTTGAACGTATCATGAAGTTTGAGAAAATTTCCTTTGAAGTTTGAGCTTAGTCAATGAAATAAATGCAGATACCCAATTTCACATCCAATTGTCAAGATTAATTGCAACCACCTTGTACCAAAGGTAAATGACTCATTATATACTTTCCCTATAATTATTTGGTTAAGAGGTTGATGAGGTTACATTCTTTTTCAAGATATTCTTAGATAGGGTTTTACACAAAGAAGTAAAAAGATAGTATACTCCTGCAGTAGCATAGAATCTTTTAGCGTGACTAAATTTTATATGTTATAACTTCCTTTTTTTCTTTGCATAAGCAAAGCCAATATTGCAAGTAGTAGAGATTAAGATCCTTCTAAACTCTTTTATCACAATATTCATTCTTTAAAAGAATTTTTATCAAAATATACCTAATCTATCAATTATGGAAAAAGTTTATATATAGCTGAGGTTCTAAACAATAAAATTAGAACCCACCTCAAATTTTTCACAAGAGGTTGTTTTAATGCCCAAACATGCACAAATTGATTACCTCAACATCAAGATGCATGGACATGAGAAAAAAATGGATTTCAAGTTTAGGGAATATAGTGCATATTGTAACGCATTTTGAGACCGTCAATTTTCAAAATTTTCTAGGAAAATAACCCAGGCTTAATTGGTTAGCGCTTAATGATTTGCAACGATACGCCTTTGGCTCAATTCCCACTAGGGTTAGGGCCCTCTCCTCATTGATTCACCCAAATTTTTTTTTACAAGATTTTCATAGATCTACTCGATCTACACTAGTTTTGAAGCTTTAAATTTTATAATTAAAGATGGAAATATATTTTAAGACTATCACAAAGATTTTCAGTATTGAAACCACATTTTTCGATACTATTTGAAGGTGCACTTTACTTTAATTGTTTAGAGCCTCGGCTCCATACAGACCGCACCCATCATTTAACATTTACCTATTCTCAACTACTCCATGATCTCACGTATTTCAATTGGATTTTAAAATTAAACAAAAAATAAATAAAAGGGGAAGCTCTCTATATTTCCTTTATAACATAAAACTTATATACTTCCCCTTATCCAACCGTCCATTCTAAATGGAGGGCGAAGATTGCCCCAAGCAGAATGTCGCCTCTCTACACTATTTGATTTTTAATTTTTTTCTATAATCTATTTTGACACCAAATTTTCGAAATTCAATCCTCTATTAAACTCACATTGGCAAAAAATATTTTTAATAAAATAAAATAACCAAAATATCCCTGAAAGTTTTAAGGGGTATTTTGGTCATTATATTTTATTGAAAATTTATTTTTAATATTTTTTATAGGTGCGCCCCAATGAGAAGATGACGTGTACCAAATTTCATATTCATACAATTTGTATAAAAATAATAAAAATAAAATAATTTGAGATGTCGGATCTAAGATCAAATGGTGAGTGACTCTCTTGATCAAAATTGGACGGTTGGATGGTAGGGGAAGTATAGAAACCTTTCTCAAAATAAAATTCATCTCTTGGTAAGGGTGGCAATAGGTCGGGCCAAGGTCCTTATCCTTATATGGCTAAGCGGGGTAAAAAACAGATGAAGAAAAAATAAAAGAAAACATACGGAAAAAAGAGGGCAGAGCTGAACCGTGTCGGGATTGACCCTAGGCTAGCCCTTACTATGGCCCATGCCCTACTTTGTTTTAGTGTCGGGCAGATTAGGGCCCACTAGCCCATTGTCAACCATTCTCTTCGTTGAATTTTGATATATTTCACTTTTTAAAATAGAGTATTGATCTTATGATACCCTCCCACAATCATGTGTGTAGGATATCAAAAGATCACCATTAAATTTGACATAAATTTTTAGAAAAATCAAATCCCACACCCATGTGATAATGATGTCTGTCAAATTTAATGGTGATCCTTTTGAAATCCTACACACATAAGTGTAGGAGAGTCTCATAGGATCATTACTCTTTAAAATATTCAAAATGAAATAAAATAAAAGATGGCAACGTTTGAAGATAAATAAGATCCACGAGGGAGTAACTATATAATGTGATCCTAGTCTAGTACGATCTTCTGACGTCATTTTAGAATTATTAAAAAAGACCAGGGGCAAGATAGTCATCTTCCCCACATGAGAGATTCCCACTCGTGGGCACCGCCAGTATCGTCGGGGTTGGCAACGGTCATGAACCGAATTATTCCCCATAATGCCCCTTTCCGTACACCCAAACGGTCATAATGACCGTTGCCCGTCCCAACGGCTACATTTATAAACTGTACCAACCGTTCAAACTCCCAATCCAACGGCCACAAATCCACCGCTAACCCACAGTCTCTGATCACTCCAGGAAAAAAAAAAAGAAGCGTAAAAATCTCACCCATGTCTTTGACATTGAAGAGAGAAGAAGATTGGAGAAACCCAGAACAGGAAATCCATTTCAACGGTCTAGAAATTGCTGAATTTTGAAAAGGCTCTTACTTAGAGTTTTGGGTTTTTTTTTGTGCAATGAACTCTCCCTCTTTGTGGTGCTTTGATTTCCTTTCCCTCTTCTGGGAGGTGCCTTCATAGCTTGTTTATTTCTGGGTTTTCCTCTCTCTTTAGATGGTATTTGTAATATCGGGTATGGAGTATCCAGAGAGGGAAAGGTGGGTTTCAGGCCTGAGAGCTCGCTTGATTCTCGGTTGCCGGCGGGTTGGGTTCTTTTGGGTCGATAGTTTTCAGGCAATGGGGTGACTGGAAAGCCTTTTCAGGTAAGTCGTCCGGCCTAATTCTGTTCATTGATGTCAACTTTCCCTCTCTCTAGATAGTATATACTGCTTCTCGAGCGTGCTGGTCGAGTCATTGCGTTTTCCTTTTCTGGTCATGGAGATAATTTCGAAACAATGTGTTTTCCTATTTTACTGTGGTTTTCCTTATTTAGCCTCTGTGGTTCCAAGAGAGAGATCCCCACAAATTAAAAGCCGAAATTTCGATCTCCTCTGTGTTTTTCTATAGAAAATAGCCATTTTCTCTTTCTTCTATGTCTTCCTTTTTCTGCTACCAAGTGTTACCCTCTTTTGCTTTCTGAATGCTTTGGAATCCCCTGTTTAGTACACTTCTGGCCGTCTGTTATTGTTGTTGGGCTTTTTCTCCCTACCATTTTCCCCAGTTTTCTCTCCTTTTGATAATTTCTTTTATTTTTTGGATACTTCGATCTTTGAAATCTAGTAAAAATCAGTTAGTACCCATCAGTTTACTCGGTCCAAATTTGAACTTTGAATTCTAGTAAAATTCAGATAGTACACATCAGTCTTTTAAACAGTAAACCTGCAAATTTCTCCATATTCATACCATAAGACACAGATAAACCCAAGATTCCAGAAAGCACATTTCAATCCATCCTTGATACATGGAAATAGGACTTCCATAGTCTCAGTTTCAGAGATAATAAGGGGAAAGGGATTGGGTTTTGTCCGAGAATCGAAGATCTGGAGAAGATCAGAGGATGTTGGCCGGGTGCTCTGCTCTGTTGTCTCCAAGGCATAGGTTAAGGACAGATTCAGGAGAGCAATTCCATAGCATCCAAACCCAACAAAAGCAATCTTGCCACTTTCAAATACAGGACAAGCTTTATGTATCACAGCATAGCTCCAATTCAATGAGTACGCAGAGACTAGACTTACCCTGTAGTTTCTCGAGAAAAGAAGTTCCTAGATCCCAGCCGTTAATAGAGAGCTCGACCACCTGTTCTCTAAGAAGAAATGCTCGGATTCCAGCTCCTATCACATCTGGTTTCAGGCCAAAAGCAGCCGACTATAACAAGATTGAAGTTTCAGAGACGTTTTGGGAGAGAGGAAAGAGCTTGAAAAGGTTTTGCGATCAGAACCCAGCTGAGGATTTTAGCACAAGTAGAGCCAAGAGGATTAGAGGAGAGGAGAAACTTTCTTTGAGCCAATTGGGTCATGATGATTTCTGCTTCTCTGAGAATGTAAAGCCAGAATCAATTGGTTTGAGCCCTGGTTTTGAATCTTTTGATCCTCCGGTTTCATTTTCGCCCCCTTCCATTGAAGAAGAAGGGGTTTATAGTTATACTAAACCTGAGTCGATTCTCTCTCCTCTTCCATTAGCAAAGACCAGTGCTTGGGTTGAGTCTATTGTCACGGAGGTATTGGAGAAGGGAGATAATAAGGATGGGGAAACCAGTGAAGAACCGAAGAAATCAAAGACAAGCTCGAGTTCTTCAGAAACAGAGAGCTTGACTCATAAAGAAGAGAACAAGTCGCCAGAGAAGGACACAGGTGAAGGTACCTCAGTCCCCTACCAACCTGAAGAAGCTCCGGAGAGCAGTGAAAATTTAGAGAGAGAACAGGGTCTTGAGCTAGTGAGCTTACTGGTTTCATGCACAGAGGCGATCACTTCAAAGAATTTCACTCTCATTAGTCAGTTTCTCTCTAGATTGGGGGAGCTTGCTTCACCAGAGGGCACCTCGATTCATAGGGTTGTGGCCTATTTCACAGAGGCTCTCACTCTCAGAGTCTTCAAACTCTGGCCCCATATCTTCCATCTCTTTCCTCTGCAATCTGATTTCTCAGAGGATGATTCTGCCATTGGTTTTAGGCTTCTCAACCAGATGAACCCAATTCCAAAATTCATGCATTTCACTGCAAATGAGATGATATTGCGAGCTTTTGAAGGGAAGGACCAAGTACATATAATAGACTTTGACATAAAGCAAGGTCTTCAATGGCCTGGATTGTTTCAGAGCTTGGCTACTAGGCCCAACCCACCGAGCCATGTTAGGATCACAGGAATAGGGGAATCGAAACATGAACTTCAAGAAACGGGAGAGAGGCTAGCTGGATTTGCAGAGGCCATGAACCTGAAGTTTGAATTCCATGCAGTTGTTGATAAATTAGAGGATGTGAGGCTTTGGATGCTTCATGTCAAGGAGGGAGAGAGTGTAGTAGTGAACTGTATTTTGCAGCTGCATACGGTTCTCTATGATGATAATGTTGGGGCTTTGAGGGATTTGCTGGGTTTGATGCAGAGCACAAGGCCTGTAATGGTGGTCATAGCTGAGCAAGAGGCTAGTCATAATGATCCAAATTGGGAATTGAGGTTCTTAAGAACTTTGAAGTATTACTCTGCAATTTTTGACTCTATTGATGCGAGCTTCCCAAGGGATAGCCCAGCTAGGATCAAAGTAGAGGAGATGTTTGCTAGGGAGATCAGAAATATAGTAGCTTGCGAAGGTAGAGAGAGAACTGAGAGACACGAGAGCTTCGAAACATGGAAGAGATTGATGGAGGAAGTTGGGTTTCGAAGCTTGAGAGTCGAGGAGAGAGAGAGACTTCAGAGCCAAATGATACTGAAGATGTATGATTGTGATAGCTACAATGTGGTGAAACAGGGGGAAGAAGGGCTAACTCTTTGTTGGTTAGATCAGCCTCTCTTCACAGTTTCTTCATGGGCTCCCATTGATGTTGCAGGCTCCTCCTCTTCCTTTTCCCAGCCAGGTGGAGAGATAGAAGGATAGAGTGAGAAGAAAGATATACATACAGAGAGTCATCTTCTTGATTCATTTATTCTTTTATACCAGGCTAAGGCCTATTCTTTGATTCTTTGGCTGCTGATTTTTAGGGGGAGAAGAACAGGGTTGTTTCGGCAGCGAGATGTCACAGACTTGGCAACCATTCTTTAATTCTTTGCTTCTTTTCTCAGTTTGTTATTTACATATTTGCTTTGGCTGATAGTGCAGGTGATACATGGAGAATGATACACTGGTACTGTTATTCTTTTAGGAAGGTCATATTCTTTTTGTTTGTTGTTGGGGTACTACTCACCTCACCATATCATGTTTCTTTGAACTGATGATACTCATGTAATAATCCCATTGATTATGGTTATTAATGGATTTGGTTTCTTGAGAAGCTTGAGACTTTGCAGTTGAAATTATTTTCCTCTCTCTCTCTCTCTCACACACACACACACATTCATTTGAGTATGCATGATGTAGTGAGACTAATGGACACAGCATTGGTCTGTCCAAAAGAGTAGAAATTAATCATCTGCTGTAAGATCCACCTTTTGATTCTAGATAGACAAGAGACTTTGTTCATCATTTCCTCAAATATTCAAAAATCTCAAATTGCAAACCAATGTTGCATGATGTAGTGAGACTAATTAATGGACACAAAGCATTGGTATGTCCAATAGAGCATGCATTTGTTTTCTTGAGAAGCTTGAGATTTTGCAGTTGGAATTATGTTCCTCTCTCTCTCTCTCTCTTTGCAGTTGGAATTATGTTCCTCTCTATCTCTCTCTCACACACACACATATTCATTTGAGTATGCATGATGTAGTGAGACTAATGGACACAAAGCATTGGTATGCCCAAAAGAGTAGAAATTAATCATCTGCTGTAAGATCCACCTTTTGATTCTAGATAGACAAGAGACTTTGTTCATCATTTCCTCAAATATTCAAAAATCTCAAATTACAAACCAATGTTGCATGATGTAGTGAGACTAATGGACACAAAGCATTGGTATGTCCAAAAGAGTTGAAATTAATCACCCGCTGTAAGATCCACCTTTTGATTCTAGATAGACAAGAGATTCCTCAAATATTCAAAAATCTCAAATTACGAACCAATGTTGCCATTTCCTCAACTTTCTCGATTCTTAGCATTTGGTGGTTCACATTAAGGGCTTATATTTTCAGATGCGAATATTCATTCATAACCTGATTAATCCTAGTATAGTATATTTTCCGTTACTTACTCAGGTGTGCTTAAACAAAATACTTGAGTTTCTTTTTTCTTTTGTGCTGTTCAATATTAAATTTGAACCCATGTTCGTTAAACTTTATTTGAATCTCAGCTTGTCCGGATTTTGTATCTCTCATCATATTTTCTTGCTACAAAATGTATCATATTTTATTTATGTGATTATTGTATAAATCAAACTTTTACCTTTCGTACATTGGATTACAAAAGCCCCAAGACCCCTTAAATGTAAAACTTGATGATTGGGGTGTGTCATTTCTCTGAAAAACCATGAGAAAATTTTCCATGAACTTCAAGTGACGTCGATGGTACACCTTCAGCTACCCGATTTCACAAATGGTGGCTAGAGATGAGCGTGAGGTAATTATTTTGTGGAATTTTGATGGTTCAGGGTGATTGTGATATTTTTGAATGAGATGATGTTCGGGACTTTAAGGATTTGTTTGTATGCTTAGAACTGGTTAGACAAGCATGGAAGGCCTTGATCATTTTCTCCTTACCATGATAGGTTTCTGTTAGTATAATATAGAGTGTTTGCTCTTAACATCTCAGCTAGAGAGAGTTTTTTTTATCAAAAACATTGCCTTAAAGATAGCAATAGGGAAAACCCCATTTCTTTTTCTGTTTGTGTTTTATTTTTGTATTTCTTCTGAATCCTGTTTCAGCCAACCTGTACCAAGGCAATGACTGGATTATTTATGCATGGAAATAGTAAAATTGACAAGTTTTGTCAAGAGAGATACGTAGTAAATGTCTCAATCTGTTTATGCAATTGTAATTTTTTAATTTTTTTTTGCAAACTTATCAAAAAGTATCTGAGAAATAAACTATTTAACGTACTATATTCCTTTTGATTTAATTTCAAAAAGTCTATCAAAACACACACAATCATGAGTTGGAATAGTTGAAAATCGCAAAATGCTGAATTATTGATATCGTAAGTGTGTTTTGGCAGGTCATCAGGCATGGTTATGATGATCAACTGTCCAGACCTTGGACAAGATTGAATAAAATGCAATGCATAATTTTTCTATAAGGGATTGTATACAATGAGATCATTTACATTTGATACAAGGTCGTCACAATTCCTTACAATCATATGATGTGAAATTTGATGGCTTGGATGTGTCACAAAGTTTGATTTTTTTTTTTTTTTTGAAGTTTGAGTTTAGACAATTGAATAATTGCAGCCACCCAATTTCAAATCCAATGATCAATATTTATGTCACCACCTTGTATGAAAGATAAATAGTCTCATTTTATACTTTCCCTTTCCATAAAATCTAAAAAGGTATGCAAAATCGTAGTTGTAGTCTAATTCGCTATAGGCTCGACAACAGGTTTGGCATGAGCCGGGCCAAACCTAGCCAGAGCCCAATTTGGATTGGGGGCAAATGGGCCTTGGCCCAGGCCCGAGACCCGACATTGGCAGTGTTAGAAATATGCATGCATCAAAATTGGACTAGACAAAGGAACTCTTCCATTACTCCGAATTCTCTAATACAAAATACATCATCACTCATACACATGCTTTCTATTGACGCGTACTTGCGCTATACTTACAGGGCACGCCATAATATTATATGCAACGCATTCTCACACACTTAAATTGAGAATGGCCTGGGATCTTGGCAGTAATATTGCCGAGCTTCATGATAAAGTCTCTTACTTCATTCTCGCTAAAGGATAGGGCCCATATGGCTCTCGATGAGCCCATATGGACCACCGCCTAAGGAATGGTCATTTCAAACCGTCTTTAGTCAATCTTATAGAGAGAGTTGGGGAAATGTCTAGAGAGAAATGGAGGAACAACACGGTCGCAGCCAGACCGATCCTAATAGATTTTTTTAAAAAAATAAAAAAAATATGGAAAAGCATTTGCTTGTTTAGCACTCCTACCATGGTGGCCAGGCTTAGTGCAACTACACCTCAAAAGTTCATCTTTTGATGGATTGAAGATTTCAAAATATATTCATAAATTTAACTATGCATGATTAGAGCTCCTGAACTGTGGCGGTCTAATTATTTCAATAGAGTTAATTGATAGATCAGGATTCGTGTGGCAACCCCAATTAATTAGAAAAACGTTTCGACGATTATGGTGATTTGTTGAAATTGACAATCCAAATTTGTGAAAACTATCGATATGGAGCTTTTTTAGAGCTATAATTACATTTTTTTTCAATATCTTGATCATGGAGGTCAAAAAAATAAATTTGTAACCATCAAAAGAATGGAATTTTGAGGTGTCATTATAGTCTCCTGGACCACAACCATGGTTATTAGCTAACATTTCCAATCTTAAAAAATGAGCAATGAATCAAAAAAACTGGCCCATAAGGCTATGAGTAGATAGCCAAAGCTAAGTCTCACAATAAATTCTATAAGGAACTGTTATTGTGTTGGAATGAATTTTAATAGTGAGATAAACTTATTGGGCGACATTTAAAGCACAATAAATTTATCAAAAGAAAATATTTACATAAGGTGTTAATCTTATACTATAAAGGCAAAGAACACTTCAAAATCCACCGAAAAAGGTTCTTTTACAGCCTCGAGATGTATGAATATATATATATATAAAAAAAAGGTTGTTAAGTCCAAAAAAGTATACATCATGTGAAACGTTATATGGCCCACTATTTTGGAATTAGATTTCATAATTAGGAGTGAAGATAAGATCTTTAGGCCATCATTTAGGTTTTCAACTCCATAATTGCATTTTCTAACCACATTTGGAGGTGAAGGATGATGCTTTATGTATAGGGTGCGGTTTGTATAGAGCCTAGGCTCTAAACAATCAAATTAGAGCCTACCGTCAAATAGCGTTGAGTAATGTAGTTTCAACATTGAAATAATTATTACAAAATGTGGTTTCAATATTGAAATGCTTACACTGTTAGAATTATTGAAGAAAATATTAGCTAGAAAAAAGTTGAAATATTATGCTTGCTTCCACCGGAACATATCAAACATATTGCGGAAGGATACTATCCTTTTCCTCCATTGGGTAAAATACATATAACGAATTTTTTTTGGAGAAAAATACATGCAACGGATTTTTTTTGGATCACAAAATTTGGAGACGTAACCTTTACAACTCAAAGAATAATCTCGGCAGATTTTTTTTTTTTTAAGTAAACTATCTATGTACTAAAAAAAATATATACCTCAAGATTGAATAGAGCATTTAATTTTTAAAGGGCTAAGTGTCACAAAACTGAAAATTCAATTTTTTTTTTCTTTAAAAAATAATGACCCAGTAATTTATTTTGTTTTTCAAAATTGTAGACTAATAAAATTCTTGTAAGGAGGTGCTTTGAACGAAGGAGGAGATGCACAGTACGCTCCCTCGGAAACATAGTATATGCCCTCTCCTCACAAACTGCAATTTCTCACCTATAAATATAAAAGGACGCCCCATATATATTTCGCTTCGCACTATCTAGCTCCCTGTTTTGGGGTTTCTGGCTCTGGTAATTCTCTCTACACAAAAAAAAACTCTACACGAAAACCCTAATTCTTCGACGCCCTAACATTTGACGGGTTTCGTTTTGCTGCTTCAGTAATGGCGGATGACGACTACAATGAAATGGATATGGGGTATGTTTATGTTCAGTTAATTTACATTGTTTTTTACGTTCTCTTTTTTGGATTTTCACCATTTCTTACCTTTCAACTTCTGGCCTTGATGAGTGATGCATGGTGGGAAAATTATGGTTTAATGCTTGACGGTTGGTCATTATTGTATCTTCTTTGTATTAGGTATGGAAACTGTGATGGGATTCACTCCATGACAACTGTTTTGATTGAGTGTTTTTTGTTTCCTGTTTTCTGTTATGGAGACTTTGTGAATCAAGTTGTTTTTTTTGTTTTCCCCCGTTGGAATTGCATTTGCTTTTTACAAGTACTTTCAGGCACAAATACTGAGTACCACAGGGAGGGAGGGAGGTTTCAGAAGAAATGTATCTTTGTAGTTACACCTGAGGACATTGGCAGTTTGTTTTTTCTTTAGATATGATTCAAAGAAATTATTTAGGTTACAATGAAGAATTTCAACAAAAGAAAAGGGAACAAGTAAAAAGGAAAATCATGAGAGATGTATAGTGAACTTGTGAATTTATAATGTTAAGCAAGAAAATTGTAACAAATGGAAAACACTTCAGATTTTGACTGTATCGAAATCAAGATAAGGGAAAGATTCTATTAATTGTTGAGAAAATCCTCGACAAATTAGCTATGTGTGGATTTGTTGGTTGCTCACTCCTAGACTCATTGCCTTTTTTGAAAAATTATATTTAGTGTTCATCATTTTATTGTATTTCTCCTAAAACAATGCAGATGCATAATGTATTTAAACTATTTAATGAGGAGTTGTGTCATTAGCTCATGTATCTGTTCACTTCTATCGTGTTTGTAACTGTTTTGTAGTATGTGAAATTTCATTTTAGTGGTTTTACTTCTATTTTGAGTATTTGTATCCATAAAATGAGATTATTTGATGAATTTCGTGAATGTTAGGATGCATCTCTGCCCTTTGTCATTGAACCATACACATGTCTGAGCTGAAAATTTATCTATACCTCTTGTGGACTATAGAGAGTATTATACCCCTCTGTTCTGGCTTGGTGTTGATTAAAGACTTCGGCAGTCATCTTATGTGTTGGGAATCTGTTGCCTAGATCCATAAGCTTCAATTTTGGTAGAATAAAGAATACACATCTTTTGCAATATGTCAATGATACAAGATTATCTGGCGAGGCCTCATCCTATAGGATTTGGGGAAGTTGATTTCAGGGGTTTGAAATGTGCATTAGGAGAGGCTGTCAGTCGTGGAATGACATGCAGGAAGTGAATATTGGTGATGAATTTGTATTTTCTTACATATTGTTTGACCAGTTTTGAAGTTGTCTTCAACTTACCGGGCCTGGTAGTTGAGGTCATAAGGTGGTTTTTGCTAGGAAAGAAGTTTTAGAAGGGATTGTAATTGTCGTGAACATTAGCTATTGCCATTTGCTTTTCTTCTTCTTTACGTTCCGAGTTCAGTGATGAATTATATTCAGTGATTGAAGAAGGATTATTTGTGGGCATTAAATCCAAATACTGAATACAAGGATGTCTAATTGGTGGGATGTTTGCAAATGTGTGGATGTAAGGTTGTTTTGGAAGTTGGCTTGAAGGAAATCAATAATTTGATAGTTTGCATGAGGCAGTTTTTGTGGCCCTATAGAGGACACTTCTAGTTGAGGGAAAACAATAGGTGGATTTGGTACTTATATATCATATATTATTATTTTTTATTGGTATATTATATATTATGTTTTGGATTATATTATCCCCAAATAGTTGGGATAAGGCTCACTTGATGATGATGATGATGATGATGATATTATATATTATGCTTTGGCAGTTGTCAGGCTTGTAATGATAGCATGACAAAATTTTCACAATTGAGTATTAATTTATTTGTTTACATTATTTATAACACGTTTCAATAACAAATTTGTAATTCTATAAAAGCCATGCTCATAATTTATACTATTAAAAGATATCAGTAATGGAAATTTACTGCCCAGATTCTAGTGAACTTCAGTTTATACCATAGCATATTCATTGTGAGAATACAGCTCTGGTTGCACTTTATCCAACCATTGTTGCAAAGCTGTGCCTCTATGAACTAGTTCAAGGTGTCATGGGTCTTGTAAATTTTTTTTTTGTTTTTAATGTGGCTGTTGTCTAAGTTATTTGTTGGTATTTCGGACATAAACAAGGTTGGATGCTTTGGAAGCTGTGTCCAATACTCCTATATTTCTGTTTTGGACATATTGAGGGAATAGTAAGATCATTGAAGGCATCTATATGCTCTAGAGGAAAATAAGGGCTTGAATGAGTGGCATCAGAATATGAGATGAAAACCTTGACCAGTTGAATTCTTCTTGAAGAGGATTGAGGGTCTTGAGGCCAACCAGTTTTAGGTTATTCCAAAAAAAAAAAAGAAAAAAAAGGCATTCTAGCTATTTAGAATGCTCAGGCACTAGTTTTCCCAAACTTCCCATTTTGATAGTGGTCTAGAACTGCGTGACCTTAGTTCTGGTCAAAACCCATTTTAGTGGTTGTTTTTTATTTTGTCCTTTATATGAGTGTTTGGAAATGTGATGGTGTTTGGCTTAATAGGTCCTAGAATGTTTTGCCAAATAATAAAGGCATTTTGCAGATGGGATAGAATGGTGTTACAATGCATTTGTCAAAGGATGCGATATTATGGTTTTATGATTTGTTTGTTATTTATATAGCACTGTATTACATCATCGTAATTTTTTTTTATCGCGTATGCCATGCTCCCTCGGGAGCATTCTATACATTTTCTTGGGAGTTTTTTTTTTATTTGAAATTTTGGGATCCATCTAATTATAACTAGATTAAGTTTTTCAAAAAAAAAAAAAAATCAATTTTGAGCTCCTGAACATCTAAATCATTCCCTTAAAAATTTGGATGGTTCTAGTACAATATTTGGATGCCCTTTGTTTTAGGCACATAGGGAATTAAAAGATATTCCTAGTGTAAGTTTTGCTGGAGGGAGTAGATGGATAGTGTACTCCTGTGGGCGTAGGAAATCTTGGGCTCTTTTTTTTATCACTATTTAAGTTCCATATTTTCCTCATGTTTTGTGCCTCTTCAGTTCGATCTAAGAGTATTGATATGAGATGCAGCAGCAATGAATCTCATAGACCTTCTATTTTAATTAAGATATCTTAAGAAAGTATGTGTATTAATAGTCTTCATGGCATTTTCTTGAAGAATGTAGATTCTGCTTTGAAGTTATTTGTTATTTGCATAGCTTAATTTTATTATTAAGAACGTAGAAGCTGGGTTCTGAGTACCTGGCCAGAATATCGCAATGTTGCTGCAGCAGGCAGATAATTTATATAAAAAAATGTGTAGTACCCTAGAAGGCAGATAAATTTTTCTTGAGATTTATGATCGTGGTCGGCAAGATGATGGACTTGTAAAGTTCTGAATTCTTAATCCATCTCCAAGATGGATTTTGGGAGGTGGACACACTACCCTACCCGTTAAATGTTCTATCCCTAGATGGTTCTAGATGCAATGCAACTTTTAGGTAACTGGTTTATATTCTATCACATCATGATTTGTATTTGATGAAATGTGGTTGATAATATTGCTTTAGAGTGGCTCGTTTAAACATTGGATGCTGCTTTGGAATTTATTTCAAACAATAGCATTTGTAATCTCAAGTTGAAAGCAGAGAACTCTTTGTTGCTATTTCTACGTTTATTTTATCCACATTGTTGGTGGGGATATTGTGATTTCCTTTACTGGAAATGAGTTGGTGTAATGAAATCTCGAGCATCTTGACTCTTTTTCTAATCCACTCTATAGAGATAAGAGATTAGATTTGCATCTATGATGTTGTGTGCTCCTTCCATATCCAGTCTTTCACTTATTGATTAGTGGATGGCGGTGAGCAATGAAATCATTCTTCTCGAGCTTGATTTTCTCAAGCTTCCAATAGCTGTGTTACTTGCCAACTGGTTCTTTGAAGTTCAAGTCCAGCAGTATTTCCCTTGGGCTAGTGGTGTTTCCTTGTTTTCTTTAGATTTGAATACATCTTGGATGACGTCAGGATGATCGGCAGATGGCAGCTAAACCCAATCAGCTCCATTCTCATGCTTCATGTACGTAACATGGAAGGAGAGAGTTTTGTAAGTAACATGTAATACCCAATGGGCCTACAGCCCTCCCCTCTCCACATTTCCCTTTTCGTTCCACTGTATAGCGCAAACCATGCATAGCAATTCACACTTTACAGTTGAATGAATAAATGGTTGGGATAGGCTTGGTAGGGAGTTGGTGGAAGAATAGGAAGGAAAGGTTCTTCTCTTGAAATGTAGAAAGCACTGATAGTGAACTTTTGAAATTCGTGGGTTGTAGGAGGTGTGTGAGATTTTATGAAGTAGTGCGTGTGGGAGAGAGAGGGAGAGTTCCATGCATGAAGGGTTCTATTTAACTGAGATTGTGAGAAGCTTATGTCTTTATAGGTTCACTGCAGTGTGCTATATTTTTGTTGGGTGATGTGATCAACATTCATTGCACCTCAATCTATGAATGTTATTTTGTTTTTTGTGTTATAGAAATGAAAATTTAGATTTTGAGTAAATGATAAAAACAAAAACAAAATGTGTATCGAAGGCCAGCTTTTGACCCTTTATCTATTGCTTGCACTGGTTCGTGGGGAAACCATCACTACATGTTACTTGGTTTTTATGCTCTCTTTACACTATAGATTACAATTTGTAAATGTTATGATTCACTTTTTAGGACTTGTAGTGAACTATTGACTTATCTAAGAAGTCAGAAGGCATAATATTGAGTTTATAGACAATATTACTGTCTGCAACAATGACACGTCTGGAAATGGAGCTATGCAGAAAAGATGCAAGAGGTTGGTTTAGAGGTGATTTGGGATTTGGAGACATTAATGTTGTTTATGGGAGCTGGATTGTGAGCACGGGATTGCTGTTTGCTAGAAGCGGCTTCGCTAGGGAGCACCATGTAGTTCTTATGCAATAAATATTACAAAT